GAGTAAGACGGGTGTGATGAATGAGATGACAAATATGGTGATGAATATGACTGTTCAAAATTGTGATTGTGAATGTGGTGAGTGTGAGGAGAAGGAAGATGAGTGATGATACACCATCAGACCGGAGTTATGAGTGGTGACGAGTGTGATGAATGCGACATGAGTGGTGAGGAAAGAAGACCAGAGAAGCCACGTGTGATGAGGTGTTATGAGTAGCCGTAATGAGTACTGTGATGAATGGCCATGAGTGATGAGGAACGTGACTTTGTGTGCGTGTGGTGAATGAAGACAAGGGAAGATGAGTGTGATGGTGAGTGATGAGTCTATGATGAGTGATGAAGTGGTGACGCAGAAGCTTTTCAGACGACCAAGTAGGTATACACTTACCTATATAGATAGATAGATAGATTGATAAATGCATAGATAGATAGACAGAATGATAGACATATAGGTAGATAGATAGATTGATAGATAAATAGATAGTCAGATACATAGATAGATAGATTGATAGATGCGTAATAGATAGATAGATTGATAGATACATAGATAGATAGATAGATTTATAGATACATAGATAAAAAGATAGATTGATAGATACATAGATAGATAGATACATAGATGAATAGGGAGATAGATTTATAGATACATAGATAGATAGATTGATTGATTGATAGATACATAGATAGATTTATAGATACATAGATAGATAGATAGACTGATAGATATACTGATAGACATATAGATAGATAGATTATGCTATGTACAGCCAATGTATGTTATCTGTTACACCCAAATACCTGATAATAATGATAAAAATTATAAAGATGATAATGATAGTAATGATAACGATAATAATAACAATAATAGCAATAACAGTTATGATAATATTCATGTAAATAATAATAATGGTAATGATGATGATAATGATAACAATATCAATAACAATAATACTGATAGGGATAATGATAATGATAATGATGAAAATGATAAAGAAAATAATAATAACAATAACATTGATAACGATGATAATGATATCAGTAATAGGGATGATAATAAAGATTATAATGATAATAATAATGACAATAGTAATAATAATAATGACAATAGTAATAATAAAATAGTACAATAGTAATAATTAGTAATGACATAGTAATAATAATACAATAACAACAACAGCAATGATAATAATGATAATAATAACAACAATAACAATAACAACAATGATGATAATGATAATAAAAACAAAAACGATAAAGATGATAATAATAAAAATGACAAAAATGAAAATGATCGTTAGAATAATAACATAATGATGATGGCAACAAAGATAATAGTAATAATAATGTCTCCTTTATCAGATTTTTTTTTACTATGTTTAAACTGCATGTAATGTATGTTTATACGAAATAAAGTTTATTATTATCATTATTAAATCATTTTTTTTACTATGTATAAACTGCATGTAATTATGTAATTCTATACGAAATAAAGTTTATAATTATTATTATCAAAGCAAACACAGACAAAACAAACATGCAAATGAAAGACCAAATAAATAATCAGCTGATATGAATAATCAGCTGATATAAATAATCAGCTGATATAAATAATCAGCTGATATAACGGCATCTAACGAATGACTTCTTAGGACTGGACTTGTGGCCGAGATTCTGGTTACCGTGGGAGAGGAACAAGGGGGGGGGGGAGGGAGGGAGAGGAAGAGGGAGGAGAGGGGGGAAGAGGGGGGGAGGGAGGGGAGGGAGAAGGGGAGAGGGAGGGAGAGGGGAGGAGGGAGGAGAGGAAGAGGGGGAGGGAGGGGAGGGAGGGAGGGGGAGAAGAGAGAGAGGAGGGGGAGAGGGGGAGGGGAGGGGGAGAGGAGGAGAGGAGGAGGGGGGAGAGGGAGGGAGGGAGAAGGGGGAGAGAGGGGAGGGAAGGGAAGGGAGAAGGGGGGAGGGAGGGGGGGAGAGGGGGGGAGAGGACAGAGGAAGGGGGAGGGGGGGAGAGGGAGGGAGGGATGGAGAGGAAGAGGGGGTGGTGAGAGGCAGGGAGAGGAAGAGGAAAAGGAGGGATAGAGAAGAAGAGGGAGAGGGAGAGAAAGAGGGAGGAGGGAGAGAATAAAGGGGAGGGGAAACAGGAGGGAGGGTGAGGAAAAGTGAGGAGAGGAGAGGGAGAGAAAGAAGGAAGAGGGGGGGAGAGGGAAGAGGGAGGAAGAAGAGGAAAGAAAAAGAAGAAGAAGAGGAGGAGGAAGAAGAAGAAAGCAGAAAAGAGGAAGAAGAAGAAGAAAAGAAGAAAAGAAGAAAGAAGAAGAGGAGGAAGAAGAAGAGGAAGAGGAAGAAAGAGGACAAGGAAAGAAGAGAGCGGAAAGAGAAGGGGGAGGGAGGATAGACGGAAAAAACATTATAGGCCGCTTTCCTGTCCTTGTTCCTGACCAGATATTCGTGAGTAGGCCTATGCATCTGTTTGTCCGTAGGCCTGTTTCTGTTCGTGCGTATGTACGTGT